GAGAGACTGCAGTTTTGTAGGGGGTGTCTTGTTGCCAGTGTGGTCCACGTGGGTTCAGTAGATAGGGCTCAAGGAGAGGCATTGATCAATATCTTTTTCTTTCTTTCTTTTTTTAGGCATTTGGGGTTAAATGACTTGCCCAGGGTCACACAGCTAGTAAGTGTCAAGTGTTTGGTCTGAGACCAGATTTGAACTCAGGTCCTCCTGACCTCAGGGCTGGTACTCTATCCACTGTGCCACCTAGCTGCCCCCCATTTGGGGTTTTCTTGGCAAAGATACTGGAATGGTTTGCCCTTTCCTTCTCCAGCTCTTTGTACAGATGAGGAAACTGAGGCAAACAGGGTGAAGTGACTTGCCCAGGGTCACACAACTAGTGTCTGAGGCCAGAAAATAGGGAATCTGAAGCTTGGGGAGAAAAAGCCATACACTGCGTAGAGGGTGGAAGAGAAAAACTTTGGAGTGAGTTCAGAAGAAGGTTGCCGGATGAACTTCAACGTGATTTCATTTCATGCCTTCTTCCATTCAACCCCCATTTCCTTAGCACCTACAATGTGTAGGGCCCAGTGCTCAGTCCTGGGGGCGGAGTCAAAGATGAGTGAGATACTGTCCTTACGCTCATGGAACTTATAGTCATGGGGTCTAAGGATATTCAAGCTGGAAATGACCTTGCCTAATGACTTTTAGGAATGAGGAAACTGAGGCCTGGGGAGAGAAAGTGACTTGACCCATATCTCCCAGGTCCTAAGGAGGAACTTCGGCATCAGCAAACACAGGTGCACTGGTTCTTAACCCAGGCTTCTTACTGTAATAGGGGTGGAGGATTAGACTGGAGGACAGCTATAACATAAAGCTAAAACACAATATAAAGAATTTCAAAGAGGTGCCCATGTGAGATCCTGAGCTCTTTGGGAGTTCAGAAGTGGAAATGATCACTTCCAGCTAGGAATACAGGCGAGAGCTCATGTGGAGCTGGGCCTGGAGACTCAGGCTCTGAAAATAACTAGAGTGGCAGCAGGTTGATTAGCGAGCAAGACGACCTTGACTGTTGTTTTCTCAGCAGCTGCCCTGGAGCCCAGGACGCTCGGCCAGGCGGCTGCCAGGTTCTAAAATGAGGAGTTGGGCAGTGGCAGAGGAGTCACAACCCATCAATCCCATTCCCAATGGGGTGTGAGTCTCTTTGCTAAGATCTATGGCTGTGTCTGCCATCTGCAGCCCTTGCTGGGCTTCTCATACATCATCTGCCTTTGCTTACTCACCCATGGGCCCAGAAACTGCCTTCCAGGAGCCCCGGCAGAGGCCACAGGGACATTGAAACCCACCCAGGACGGAGACTTTCTGTTCATACAGCCTACTCTTGACTTTTGACAATGATGTCACTGGACGGGGATTCCAACGATCCCCCGATCACTGGGAAGGTCCTTGGCTTTGGGAGCAAGTATTTGAGGTTCAGTGGATTCAGACCACTCTGTGGCAGAATCCACAAGTGGCCATCTCACCTAGGAAACTGGGGCCTCAAAGAGAGGGGCTAGTGATAGTACGTATCACTTGTCATTTAAACCAGGTTTTCTGATTCCCCATCCCAAAATTCTCTGCCCTTCACTACCCATCTTCTTCATGGCACTTTACACAGAATGAGGGAATCCTGGTGAAGATCCAGCCTTGAGGGCGGTGGGAAATTCTCCTGCTTCTCTGGGGCCAGCTCCCAGCTGGGACTAACGTCACCCTTCAAGGGTTCCCCAGAGGAAGACTGATTAGGTGATCTTTATGGCCCCTTCCTATCTCAATAGTTGAGGAGAATAAAAATGAAATCACTGCCATCATTATCTTCCCTCCTCCTCCCTGCAAAGATATAGTACAAGTCTTCCCAGGTTTCTCTAAAACCATTTCCCTCCTTATCTCTTACAGGACAAAAATAGTACTTCTGGTCTAGTAGGTAGAGATCCGGCCTCAGAGCCAGGAAAACCTGGATTCAGATCCCATCTCTGTTACATACTAGTTGTGTGACCCTGGCCAAGTCACTCATCTTCTCATGTTCTAAGCAGCTTTCCAAGCTGCAGGGAAGTTTCTGGCTATTCCGCTTGGTAGAGAGAACTTGCTCATTTGTAAGTCCCGAAAATCAATGAAATCACAGACCTAGTCCCTACCCCCATCATTCTTCCCCCTAACCTCTACAATGAACAAAAGGGCATTTTCTTTTCAAAAATAATTTTTGTTGTTGTTATTTTATATTCAACAAACCCCAATTAGTACGGACATTTCCAACTGTAAAGAAGAGAAAGGGGATTGTACTTGAATGTCTATTACAACAGCTTGCTTTAACAAAGCAAAACAATGTATAATAGCTGACCAAATTATGGCATATGAATATGAGAGAGAACTACTGCTTTGTAAGAGATGAGGAGGGAAATGGTTTTAGAGAAGCCTGAGAAGACTTGTACGAACCAAGGCAGTGAAGTGAACAGAACCAGGTCAACTGCTACTGTAGGAGCAACATTGTAAAAATGAGCCACTTTGAAAGCCTTTAAGCTCATTAACCCAATAACCAGCCATGATTCCAGAGGACCCGAGATGAAGGATCTCTTGACAGGATGATGGAGTAATATGCAGAGTGGGGCATACATTTTTGGACATGCCCTAGATGGGAATTTGTTTTGTTTGACTATGCTTATTTGGTATAGGGTTCTTTTTCTGGGGGGAAGGGGCAGGAGGAAGGAGAAAAAAAGTTTGATCATTAAAAAAATTAAATTGAATTTTAAAAATTACTTTATTAAACATGTTAGTTTTAAAGCTGCCCTGCTTGTTTGTGTCTCCCTCCAAACCTCTTTCCATTCTCACTTTTCTTTGAATATTTTGAAGATCCCTTTTTTCTTTCTTTTTTTTCTTTTTTGACCTCACTATCACTCACCCTGTCCCCTAACCCCACCCCAGTTAAAGCTGAACTGGAGGGTGGGAAGGCGCCTCTTTGGGGCTGTGGTAGAGAAAGCCTAGAGTCAGGAATGCAGCCTGGACAGGATAATACCAGCCCCGGTATTTTCCTTAAAATTGGAGAAAGGGGCTGCAGGGGCAGGGGAGTGAACTTCTGATGGTACTTTTGTGTGGCCGTTACCCTTCACACTTTGCATCAGTTCATCCTAGTCTTCCTCTGCTTCTTCGTTTTCATCACATGCAGAGTTAGATTACAGCAGAATGAGATTCATCACAATTTGCTCAGCCATTGCCTGACTGATACGCATCAACTGTTTCCAATTTTTTTTTTGTATACCATCAAAAGAGCTGTTATAAATAATTGGTGTATATGGAGACTTTCTTTTTGTCAGTAGCCTCCGAGCAATGGGTGGAACCCTGAGTCAAGGAGTGAGGGCATTTTGATCACTTTATTTACATAATTCCCCAAAGATCTCCAGAGTGATTATACCAATTCACCACTCTACCAACTACGCATTAGGGGGCCTTTCTCTTCAATACTCTTTGCATCTTTTGTCATCTTTGCCAAAGATGACAAATTGATGACAGGATTGTTTTTTTTTTCTTCTCATTTCTCTTATTGATAACTCGGGGGATCACTTTATATGGTTGTTAAGTTCTCAATTCTTCTTTTGATAATGTTCATCCTTTGACTGCTTATCTATTGGGAAATGGCATTTGAGTTTGTTGCTTGTCTTGGATAACAAACCTTTGTCAGAACTATTTGATACAAAGATTTTTTTCTCCCCATGAATCACTTTACATTTTCCAGCATTGCTGGTTAGAGGAGGGGCATATTTGGAAATGAATATGACTTAAAAGAAAAAGGCACCAATCAAATTGAAATTAAATGAAAATGGGTTACCAGAAAATGTTGGGGTCCAGCAGCAGAGGGTCAGTGGGGTTGTGCCTGGTGTTGCAAGTGACCCGGGCCCATAAAGGGACTGTGTATGTTCTCAGAACTGCCAGTTGGCAGAGTTCTAGCAGGTTCTGGCCTGACTTTCCTTGAGAAGCAATGTGGTGTATTGGGGAGAGTGATGGACTAAGGAAGATTTGAGTTCGAATTTGGCCTTGGACACTCAGTAGCTGTGTGACCCTGGGCAAGCCACTTAACCTGTTTACTTGAGTTTCCTCATCTGTAAAATTGTGGTAATAGCACTTCCCTCCCAGGATTGTTGTGAGGATTAAATGAATGAAATAAATGAATAAATATTTAATGAAATAAATAAATAATATAAAATAAATATATAAAACATAAAGTAAGTATAAAATATAAAAATAAATGAATAAAATGCTTAGCAAACTTTAAAGTGTCACATAAATGTCAAGTATTATAGTATTCAACATTCAAGCTACTGAAATTTGGGAGTTCATGACAGATTCCATCCAAGTGAAGGTCAGGGAGTCTATGATAACTTGGAAATGAAGACAGGGAGATGAGTTACATCCTGGCTGAGTGTCACATAAAAGAGAGTAATTAAGGCAGGAAGGCTGACGGCTGGCTTCTTGCCTGGCCCTGCTCCTGACACAAGCAGTGACCTTGGTGAAATCACCTCTCCCTTCTCCGGGCCACAAGTGCTGGATGGGGACAGTGACATTGCCGCCAACCTGCTACCAAGACTGAGGGGTTCTGGGCAGTGTGAAAGGTGGTGGGGCAGTCCTGGTGCCTCAAGGTACCCAAACTCTTTGGGAACAATTGGGTGAGCCTGATATCTGGGAGAGCTGGACAGATACTGGGAGGCCTCTGCAACTTGGACAAGAGCTGCAGCTGATTTTAAACCATCTGGGGGTGTTGCTAGGTCCCTGCTAGTGACTGGGATGGGGGTAGTCTAGAATCACAATCAACAAGGATAGACTGAACATCTTCGCCCTCAGAAGAGGACATCTAATCCTTCCTTCTAGAACAGGGGTGGGGAACCTGTGGCCTCGAGGCCATGTGTGACCCTCTAGGTCCTCAAGGGCAGCCCTTTGACTGAATCCAGGCTTCACAGAACAAATCTTCTTATAAAAGGATTTGTTCTGTAAAACTTGGACTCAGTCAAAAGGCTGCACCTGAGGACCTAGGAGGCTGCACACGTGTCCTCAATGCTGCAGGTTTCTCACTCCTGCTCTAGAACATCTGAGACATGGTCATTCAGCCTGCTTGAACACATCCTCCTTCCCGAGGCAGCCCATTTTATTTTTGGACAGCTCTCTTCTTAGAACAGGGCCAGTAACAGATGCTTAGGGTGCTCTGGCCCCCTCACAAATACTCTCGTACAGCACAAAGTACGTCCCACCCAGTCACTGGTGTTTGCGCTCTTTAGCCCCCACTAGACTCTTAGGGCAGGGGCAGCATCTCCTGTCACATGCCTGGCTCCCTAGCTCAGATTGCTTCCTCTCCCCTGACCGCAGCATCCCTGGTATGTATCATTCAGCACACTAGCACGTCCCTGAGTCTTCTCAGGCGGCTCACTGGACCCCGAGGTCTGGAAGGCCTCTTCTCTAAAATAAGGATCACAGCCTCTTCCTCATGGGCTGCTCTGAGGATCATGAGAGAACAGATTCTAGCCTTTTTCTTCCTCTCCAAACTAACCCCCAAGCTTCTTTAGCTGACTCAACTCCACTGGCCCAGGGTCCAGGCCCTCGCCAGCCAGGCTGTCCTCCTCAAAGACGTTCATCAGCTTGTCAGCGTCCCTCCTCACCTGTGGCGCCCGGAGGGGCCTGACCGCAGGATGGGGCAAGTCCCTCCACCAGGTGAAGTAGCCAGCGGCTGCAGGGCCATGAACTCACAGGCCCAGGAAGAGCCTCAGAGGAATCAGGCCCAAATGTAGCCCCAGGATGTTCCACGATGCTGCTGCCAACAGCACTCACCAGTCAGCCTTCGCTTGAAGACCTCCGGGAACAGGAAACTTCCTAAAGCGCAGCCCGCCCTGCTTCAGATCACTCTAATCATCAGGAAGCCCTTCCTCACACTGAGGGGAAATTAGCCAGGCCCCAGCCGTTATGAAGCAGACTGCCTAGTAAGACAGAGAAGTCCCGAGTTCAGATCCAGCCTCAGATACCTACTAGCTGTGATCCAGGGCAAGTCACTTAACCTCTCTGCCTCAGTTTTCTGAACTGTGAAATGGGGACAACAGCCCCTACTTCCAAGGGTTGTCATAGCTCATCTCTCGGCACATCTTAGAGCTCTAAATAAATGCTACTATTGAAAAACACGGACATAAATAACCAGACAGAATGTGCTCTGTGCCATCAGACATAGTTTAAAAAGGATCCCAGGGTCCGGTCCCCATACCTTCTTCCCACCATTCCTCGTCCTGACCTCTCAGGCCTAACTCCTCACACTCCCTGAGTCTCCACCTCCTCGTGCTCCTCACATGAGGGTGCCTGTCCCCTCACTACCCTGGCCACCCTCCACACTTGGCAGGGATGCATCTCCAACCTTTCAAAGCCCCTTCCTGCTCTGGCAGCTTCACTGAACTCCTGAGTACTGAGGAAAGGTTCTGATTCTAACAGTCGGCGCCAATCCCTCCCCAGCTCAGACGTCATGCACGGAGATAAGAAGGTTGGAGAGCCAGAAGCAGTTTTATTGCTCGCCCAGGGAGTCACGCCCTGTTGTTCATATGCTAACACCTATGGGGCTCCAAGCTGGGGACCACCACCCTGAGATTCAGGACTGGGCGCCCATTTTTATATCTATGTATATGTTCAGAATGTACTGATTCACCCCTTCCAAGCACGCATCACCTGGAGAGTGTTTCTAAAGGGCAGGTGAGAAGAATGAGCACACTCTGGTTTCCTCTTGGGGGGGGGTATCATAACTACCTGGGAGGATGCTGCCTGCTGTCTCCACCAAGTGCCAGCCCTGGAGGTCACAAGAGGGGCACCCGGGCCAGTCCGGCACAGTCCCAACTAAACCACGTGGATACTTCTGGACGACATGGGCAGCCCCCTTGGGAGATGTCTGTGCGTGGTCTGCTCGAGTTTGCCACATGTGGGAAAGCCACACACGTGGCCACGGTGGGCAGGCCAGCGTCCTCTCTGCCTCACCTCACATAAATGACAACGCCATCACTTTGGGGCTGTAAAGTCAACACCACTGGCATGCAACCACAGTTTCACATTTTGATACTGCAATATGTTAACGATGTTAAGCCAACTGTCCTGTCGAGCGTCGCTGACTGGCTTCTACTCACTTCCCAAGAACAGCCTAAGCCCTCCAGAAGAGAATTCTCGTAAGACCTCATTCTGTGAGATCTGAAGACCCAGCACCAGGGCACCAACTCTGGGATCTCCCTCCCCACGAGAAACATCCTGGGGAGCACACAAAAGGAGTCCAGTGTGTATGTGCGTGTGTGTGTGTGTGTGTGTGTGTGTACACGTGAATGTGTGAGTGAGTTCGTGTGTGTATACGATGGGTCCTTGGGCCCTTTCCAGGACTGACCACCATCGGTACAATGGCCTCAGTTCTAGGCTTTGTCCGGTCCTCGTGAGGGTCTCAGCGCAGCTGCCAGCCCACTCTGCTCCAGTTCTGCGATGACAGACATGTATTTGAACTCGCTGGGTCGGAGGTTAAAGGTCTCTACCAGGCCATAGGTCTCCTGGCGGTCAGTGGCATAGAAGAGCTGCACCTGGTTGGCGATGCACTGAGCCTCAGGAATTTTCTGAAAGGGAAGGGCACATGGTCAAGGCCTCCCCTTCTGGCCACAGCACCCCCGCCTTGGAACGGCCTTCAGTGTTGGGACCTGCTCTTAGCAGCCCCTTCTAGACTACCGCCCCAGCCTTTGGGGATGGGCTTCCCCTGTCCTGGAAGAGACCCAAGATGGATGTAACAGTCAGGGACTCAAAGAGGAGCTTGTCATCTTTTAAGAGATGCACGAAACAGAGACATGTATGGGGGTGGTTTGATAGGAATCCTAACCCAATTCCACCCAGTGTCAATGCGCACAACAGAGACAATGAGCATGGTGAGCAGGAAGGAGAAAGAAGCATTCCTGGCAGGCGTCCTAAAAGAGGTGTCACTGCACATGGGACCTGAACGCAGGGCTAGCCTGAAGCAAACACCAGGTGGGGGCTGCGCGTGTGGTCTGACTTCTGGGGGGCCAGAGAAGCTCTCCTCCTCCCCGCCCTACACCAGCACCAGTCCATGAGGCCTAAAGCTGCTTAACACTTAACCTCAATTGCCTAAAAACAAAACAAAAAAACAAAATAAAACAAAAAAGAAACTTTCAGGGGCAGCCAGGTGGCGCAGTGGCTACAGCACTGGCCCTGGAGTCAGGAGGACCTGAGTTCATATCCAGCCTCAGACACATAACCCTCACTAGCTGTGTGACTCTGGGCAAGTCACTTAAGCCCAATTGCCTCACCAACAAAAAAAAAAAAACAAACAAACAAAAACAAATAAAAAAAAAACCCATTACAGGCACCCATATTTGTAAAAAGGGCAAGGAGGGGCAGCTAGGTGGTACAGTGGACAAAGCACTGACCCTGGAGTCAGGAGGATGTGAGTTCAAATCTGGCCTCAGACACTTACATGCTGTGTGACCCTGGGCAAGTCACTTAACCGTGATTGCCTCTAAAAAAAAAAAATGAAATTTTTTTAAAAAGTGCATGAATAATAAAATATCACAATCCCCATATAAACTCTCACTCAGTCTCTGTGAGGGGGAGAATGGTACATGTCAGAAACCTGCCAAGGAGAGACAGAGTGAGGAAAATCCATGTGCTCTGAGTAATTCACACATAGCACTATAAACCTCTTTCTGACTCAAGCCCTGTTCACGGGGGCAAGCTAAGCCAAGTCAAAACACACACGCTGGGCTTGACTAACACCTCACTAACACCTCCACACAATCAGACCCACTGGGTGACTCCTGAAATGAGTCCTCAACAGCAGCTCTAACAGCCATCACTTCCACCTTCACACTCAGGTGACTGGCTTCTGAATTCTACCCTTGCACCTCTCTTATTCCTCTTATCTTTTGGGGTCTCTGCAACCAACCTCATCTCAGCTTACAGTCTGGAATAGAAATTCCACCTTCTGCCTAGAACCAGAAAAAGAGCATTTATCCCTTAATCATAAGCCAGATCTACCTGCCACATACTACAGCTTGTCCCATTCAGGATCAGCCACAGATGCCTCAGAACTGAGCACATCTAACTCTGTGGGAAAGGCCAATGCCTTGGAGGGAGTGCACTCCACAGCTAGTCATCAGCATCCCCTAGACTTGGAGCTGGAAGAGGGCATTTGTTTTACAAATGGAAACTGAGGCCTCAGGAGAGGAAGGAGCCTGTCCGGCATCACACAGGGGGTCAGCAGCACAGCTGGCACCCACATCCAAGGCTCTGACTCCAAATCCAGGGCTCTTTCTCAGAGCAGAATAAATAGCTGGTTGACATTACGGAGGATTTTCAGGTTGTTTAAGGAATGTCAGACTCCAAGAATTATCATGCCATGGTAAGGCTGAGCCAATCCTAAAACCAAGATACCATGTCCCTTTGGTCGCCTGCCTGGCCTGCTATCTATGTACCAATGCCCAAGGATCTGATATTTGTCAGAAGTACTCATGAAACACTACCTGAGCCAATTTGCCTCAGTTTCCCCCACTGCCTCATTCTACTGGACTCAATATCACATACCATGGTAGTTAAGATCATATAAATTATGGAAATCTATGACCAGAGGCTGTGGAGCCCAATCTCGCTCTATTTATTAGCTCCAGAAATTCAGCTTACTAAGAAACACAAAGAAATACTGGCACATGGATTAATGTAACTTCTACAGATGGAGATGACCTTGGAGTTGATGCAGATGGTCCTAAAGCAGAGGCCCACCCTGGGCTGGTCATTTAATAGGGGCCTCAGTTTTGTCTGTAAAATGGAGGTCATAGCACCTACTCACAGGAGGCAGCACGATGTGGGAAAAGGGGCTGGGCTGGGGTCAGAGGGCCTTAGTTCAGACTCCAGCCCTGCCCTCGTTAGCTATGAGACCTTGGGCAAGTTACCAAATATCTTGGCCCTGCCTCTGCCCCTGAGTTTCCTCATCTCTAAAGTGAGTGGACTGGATCAGATGCCCTCCTGCTCCCTCCCCGCCCTAAGCGGATGATCCTCAGTGGCTGGTTGTGAAGAGCAAATGAGACGATTGTAGAAGCACCTTCACAGACGACATAAATACCCCCATCATCATCTGCTCCGAGGGCACACTAGTCTCCTCATGTGTGGGCTCTGGGCTCCTACAGTTGTAACTGAACATTTACACAGAGCGCCTGCCTTGCACACATCTGTCAAATGAGTGGTGTGTCCCAGGGCGGGTGTCATCACCCGCGCCCCTGAAGCCTCGGCCTCTGTCCGCAGCCCACCCACACGCAGGCCCTCCCCACCGTGACTAGGTCTTCAAGGAGGGCATTTTGTTCAGCTTTACGGGATCGTCCCAGCACCACGCAGGAACCTTGGCGAGCCCCTTGTCTCAGGCCACCTTGGGAGGCCCACCAGGCCCGGGGCTGCCTGACCAAGGTTCCATGGGCTTCCGATTCCTTGAGCAGCACAGGACTGCTGCGTTGGGGAGCGCAGCCTAACCACACTGCACTTGGTTGTCCAGTAACTGGGAGCAGGGACAATCTCCTCGTTCCCTCTTCTTCAGCTCCAGGACTGGGACCCCATCCCCTTTGTGGGGGGGTCATTTAAACCCACAGTCATTCTAGAACCACAGTGGAAAGGCGAGTACTGTTGCTGCTTTCTTGGAGGGCTATCATTCCAGGATCTCATGCTTTCAGCGCTCCCCAAGTGGTCTGACCAAGGGCAACCTGTGCCCTCTGCCCTCAGCTGTGAGCTCCGCCACTTCCTGATCTGGTTTTGGGTCTGAGCAAGCGCTGACTGCAGGCTCTCCTCTGGTCTGGATATTCCCCTGCAGGCTGGGCAGGAAGCTGGCACTAAGGCCCTGCTCTGCCCGAGGCCCGAGCCTCCTCCTCACTGCTGCCGCCGCCACCTCTGACCATCCTCCTCCCTCCACGTGCTGCCTTGTGCGTCTGCTTCTCACTACCCTCGGCCTGCATTGGAGCTGCGCCCCAGAGCTGGGCAGTGGCCGGTGAAGCTGGCATCCGTATAGGTCTGGGACCCTGTCTCGTGCTGGGCACCCGAGCGTTCTGCTCACTTGGGCTGGGAAAGAACTCCCTGAGATTTTTTCCTACTCTCCCCACCAACACTTGGTTGGCCGTGTTTTCTGGCTGTCTGGAGAGCTCTGGGGGTGCGCTCGCTGCACTGGTGCTGCTGCTCTGCTCCGCCGCCCGGCTGCCTTCAGGTCCCCCCCTTCTACATCCCCCTTACAGCCATCGCCTCCAGCTTAGCGTGTCTATGGCTCGTTTGTGCCCAGCTGTTCCTACGCTGTCTCCCCTCAGGGAGGGCAGGGACCGGCTCCTCTCTCACTTTGTACCCCGGTGCTTGCCCCAGGGCCTGATGGCAGTGATGCTACCCGACTGATGGGCCGAGCTGCATCTTACCAGAAAAGTGGAGTCCATTTCTGCTGTCATGAGCACGATGCCCTTCTCCTCCTTGAGCTCGGGGAAGTGGTAGAGAACAAGCTGGCTCGATGCTGCCTCCCCTCGAGTCTGCAAAGGAGAAAGGTACAACTCAGGGTCACCCTGATGTGGCCTGGGGGCATGGGACACCCCGAAATGCTAGCCCGTGCTCCCTGACCCGTGGGAGCCAACAGGACAGAGGCCTGGGCCTCAGCAGAGATGGGCCCAATGGCTGGCTGTGTTGGCTTCTTCACAGGTCACTTAGAAGAAATAGTTTTCCAAAGAAAAGCCACAAGTGCCATTCACGTAAGGGGGAAGGGAGTTCTGGGGAGTAGAGGGGTGACCCTGGGGGTGGGGAGGACGCTATGGGGGCACTGTCCTCGACACCGTGAGTGCATCCATTTAATGGGCCTGTAAGTGCCTGCCAGGGGCCAAGCATTGTGGGCTATAGTGCCAAAACCCCCCAAAGAGCCTCTGCCTTCAAGAAGGTTCTATATTCTATTGAGGAGAAAAAGGGAACAGATTTAAAGTGACTACTCGAGGCTGGCTGTGGCCTGTGGGAAGTCTCCGGGAGAGGGGAAGGTTGGGGGCAGACGACAGACCAGTCTGGCTGTGGTCTGGCTGAGGGCGGTGGCCCCAGCTGGTAGACTTGCTGGAGCTGAAGGGGCTGGAGGCTGGGGGAAGACGGGACGGCCACCCAGAGGAGGGGGAGGCGGGCAGCCAAGGCCCAAGAGTGGACTGAAGAGGGTGACCTGAAGCTGCGCATGAGAAGGAGCTTTCTCAGCACTGTTTTCAAAACTGTGGCTATCCAGCTCAACCTTCAGGGAAAACCCTTTCAATTGTTAATGAGAACACAGCTAGCCTGGGCAGGCATGGCCACCCTCCCCTGGGCTCTCTCGGTCCGCTGCTCGCCCTCAGGTGCTTGGACTATGGAGTTCCATTTAACTCAGTAATTCAATAATCACGACATCAATAATGTATGGCAATATTATTATATGTAATATATATTATATATAATAACATATTATATGATGATACACTGATACTAATGATGATGGTGCATATTTTGCAAGGCTACTAAGGTTATGAGCCAAAAACCCAGAGAGGAAGGTAAAGCAAGGGCTTTTCCTCCAATTTTACAGAAAAGGAAGCTGAGACTCAAAACAGTTGAGGTACTTGCTTAGGGTGGGCACGTGAATCTGAACCCAGGCCTTTCCTGGCTGTGTCCCCTTCCTGGCTCGGTGACTGTGGGCCGCCAAGCCTCAGTACTAACTACCTCCTGAGGCTGCTCTAAGGAAAGCTTTGGAGTGATTTCACCCTTCTCTCCCAAAGCCTTCGAGGCAGCTTGTGCCTGGCAAAGGAAGCAGCTGGGAAATGGGTGGGCTGGACTGAAGAGTGATAATTAGAAGGCTAAGACCCTGCTCTTAAGAAGCCACATGCAGCGAGGGAAAGAAGAAAAATGCAGAAAGGACTGTAATATTCAGGAGATCGGGGCCAGGGGCTTCAGAGGGGGAGATGCCCTGCAGCTGGCAGTATCAGGACACCCGCCTTCAAGCTCACCCCAGCAGCCTGCACTAGTGGCCAGTCCAATCTAAGATCTGAAAGCCGTGCTAACCCCTGCAAGGCCCCCAGTGGGTTAGATACAGTGCACTGGCTCTGGGACAACAACGACAAAGACAGGTGTGACCATCTCTGCACTCCTGCTGTCTGACAGGAGCTGTGGGATGGCTCAGAGTGGTCCCCAGGCTGGGGTGGGGGACCGGGAAACATCTGTGGTTATAAACCACAAAACATAAGCAGATAACCAATAACCAAGGTCACTGATGCCCAGAGCCTCAGGAGAAGTGCTGTCCAAAGCACTGTGAGCATCCAGAAGACACCCCGGGGGCTCCAGGGTCAGGGAAGGCCCCCGAAGGCGGTGGACATTTGACATGATGACTCCCTCTCCAGCATCACAGCAAGGGCCCTGGGGCTGCTTCTAACCCCTGAACCTTACCTCCTATTTCTGGGAAGAGCCCTACTTTTGGGGGGCAAAGACCCACTGACCCCTGACTCCAACCAAGAACAAAGCCCACCCCACGCGGCTGGGAGCCCCGCAGCGCGCTCACCCACCTGGATGTTTATAAGGGCAGTGAAGTGGAGCTCGGACCCTGACCACTGACCCACGAAGAACTCGTAACCTTCCCTCCTGGGGAGCGCACACAGGAACTGCAGGAACAGAGGGGGTGAGACAACCAGCCAAGACCTCCCAAGTGCTGCTAGGGCCTCAGGGGCCAGGAGGGCACAAACATTCCCCCAAAATACCAGTGAGAACTAACACGTAAACACTGGCTTCCGGGATGGCGACCAGACCCCTGGGTTTTCAAGAGCTATAGGAATGCTATTTATTATTGTTATTAGGAACACGCAGAAAGGAAACCCTGGTCACCAAAGCAGGTCAGCACCTCCTCTTGGCCTGCAGCCCTGAGCCAGGCTGTGCAGCTCCTTCTGGACCCTCCTCCTCCAGGTCACGCCCTCCCTCTAACCGTAGGTGGGGGTCCCTCAGGGCTCAGCGCTGGGCCCCCTTCTCTTCTCCCTCCACATTTCGTCACTTGGTGACCCATTGGCTCCCAAGGATTTCCTGACCATCTCTATGCTGGTGATTCTCAGGCCTACCTCTCCTGCCCAACCTCTCTGCTGACCCCCAATCTCACACCTTCGGCTGCCTGTCAGACATCCCACTGGATGACCCAGCAGACACCTGAAATGTGACACGTCCCAAACAGAAACCATGATTTCTCTCCGTCCCTAGACCCTAACCTAGGTGGCATTCTCCACTCCGCACCCTCTCACTGCCCCATATGCAAGCTGCTGCTAAGCCTGGCAATTTTACTTCCACGACCAATCTCCCAAATACCCTCCTCTCCTCTGACCCTGCCCACCCTGGTGCAGACCCTCAGCTCTTCACCCCTTCTGTTGGTGGGCCTGCCTGTGCCAGTTCTCCTCTGCTCTAGACCACCTTCCACTCAGTTGTGAAAATGACCTTCCTAAAGCAGAGGTCTGACCACGGCCTCCCTCTGCCCGGTACACTGCTGTGGCTCCCTATCACCACCAGCATCAACTACAAAGCTCTCTGGCATTCAAGGCAAAGCATGACCACCCCCTCACTCCCGCCTCTCCAGTCGTTTCACGCCCTCCCCCTCCAGAGGTATCAGCTTCTCTGTGGCTGCTCCGTCTCCCAACTCCCAGCCTTTGCACTGGCTGTGCCCAATAACTGGAATGCTCTCCCTTCTCACCTCTGCCCCCTGGCTTCCTTCTGCAGATAATCTCCACTCTAGCCTGTTTACAACTTGCTGGCACTGTTGTTTGTATGCTTTTGACTGTGAGCTCCTGGAGGGCAGGGCTGTCTTTTAACTTTCTTTTATCCCTAGCATTTAGCCCAGGGCGGGGCACATAGCAGGTGCTTCACGTTTACTGACTGACCACCTGAGGCAGAGCTTGCACCCAGGTCTCCTGGATTCAAAGCCGGCTCTCTGTTCTCTCCATTACACTGCCTCTCCAGTCACCAGCTTAGAGGCTGATGAAAAGCTCAGTGCCTTTAGGGAAAGGCTTTTCCACTTCTGTGGATTCACCCAAATGAGAGTTTTATGGCTTAGACCTCCAAGGGCAAGTGGTCGAGTTGGTCAGCTGGCCCTGGTTCCTAAGCAGTCCAGGCCCCGCCCCCCATCTCTGCGGCATCTCTGCCCACACGAGACAGGATGGAGAACCCCGTGGCTGGCTGGGCAGTTAAGGCCACAGCCCCCTCCCTCCCAGTGGGCAGGTGAACTTACAGATGGACACTTCTGGGCCCGGCTCCAGATCAAGTCAAACTTCTCTGCCTACAGGGTGGAAACGAGAAAAAAACTGACTCATGAGCAAAGGAAAAACCACACCTTTCTGCCCTGAAGTCACCACCTATGACTTACTTGCACGTACCCAAGAATGAGCTCCCAAGCACCAACACCAGACAGACAGAGTAGAGGAGAATCAAGACAAGCTAATGCACTCCTGTGATGCTCAGCCTTCTGGGGGCTCAGGCCTGCCCCAGCACTCTGGCCCTGCCAGCCCGACAAGGCCTCAGCATGTACTTGGGCAACAGGAGGCCGTATGTGGAGTGAAACCTCCCCCTCCCTCATTGCCCCCAAGGCCGAGCCGGCCCATAACCCTTCAAACGTTCTCCCTCCTGGGTCTTCTCCATCATGCCCCAGAGCAGGTCTGACCGGGCTTTCTTACGGCAGCCCACGATCACCTACGCTTTCCTGGGTGTCGTGGCACACTGTGGACTCCTTTAGTGGGCAGTCTCCTAAGACGCCAGATCACTTCCAGACAAAGCGCACTCAGCCACGCTCTCCCACCCCACGCTTGTTCCCATTGTAAGATCCTACATTTCTCACTCGTTCCTCTCGATGTTCTAGCCAGGCAGGAAGGTTCTGAATCCTAATTAGTCACCCTGTGTGCTGGCTACTCCTACCAGCTCTGAGTCACTGGCAAAATGGAGAAGCGGGCAAGCCCTATCTCAGACCTCTCTACCTCAGGACCCTACGATCCCAAGACTCCCCAGCTCCGTCAGCTCTAGGGGCCTGTCAGAAACAGCATCTTCAAATAGCAAACCAAGGAGCGATAAGAGAGCTGGGAAAGGCCTCGGCAGCCGTGGCCTACTACCAAGGACTCTACACACGAAGACGTCTCTGAGGGAAGGTAAGGGAAGGACAAAGGAGAGCCACGAATGCCAGGCAGAGGGAGGAGTGTGCTCGGCTCCACAGAAGCGTGAAAGCTCCCCCTGGCGAATGTGGGCTCTCCAGAGAGATGGGGTACAGACACGGGAGAGGCAGCCCCCCTCCAGAGCCCGGGGCTGGCTATCACACTGCTCATGCCTCCTCTTTCCTCCCAAGCAACTTACAGGGATAACTGCGTAGATGGTATCTTTTGCTGCGAAATACTGCTGCCAAATCTGGTGAGAGATGAGAAAGACCAGTGTGAGGTGCCAGGGGGCCCAAGGGTAATCCCTGCCAGACAGACGCCCCCAAGAACCCAAGTCAGACCTCCCAATGACGCTCACAGTTCAGAATCAGATGCCCTGGACCAGGGGAAAGACAACTTCCACAATTATAGTTTTATGATGACCACTGCTACTGGCTCTCAGTGAAGAAGGGGGACAAGCTGGTCTCCAACAGGATGCCCTTCTGGGTAGAACATCCCCAGCAGAGCCTCGCTCCAGGGGGCAGTGCTCTGAAGGCCACCACTGGCATTCAGATCTGGCAAGACCACCTCCTCTAGACCCTCACTCCAAGAACAGCATCCATGGCATGCTGGGTAAGATCACCAGGGCCCCCAGGTCAGAGTCTTGTCTCAAATGGGGCACCCAAGGATGCCCTGAAGGTCTGGAGGAGAACGGGATTGCACTGCGCATCCATGATGTGAACTGTGCAAAGCTAGGGTGGAAAGGAAACCATGATATAGGGGGACGAGTGCTGGACTTGGGTTTGAATCCCGCCACTGAAGCCAGCTGTGGGACCCTGGGCAAGTCACTGCTGGCCTTTCTGGGCCTGCTTTCTCCTCTGTGGAATGGGCACTATCCTAACTGAAGTGGCCGTGGCTCCTAGTCCACCACCTGACGGCCTCTGGATGAGGGGGTGGATCAGAAGAGGCGAAGGACGGCACTGCCCGGCAACGATGTTTCAGGTGCTAAAAATGCCAGACAAGTCCAGCCCACGTGAACTAGGCCAGATGCTCCCTTCATCTCTCCAGACCTTTATCCCCCCCCCCGGGAGGGATGGCTTCCCTTCTCTGTCCTCTGCTCTTTTCTTAAGCTTAAACCAGCTGATGCAACACACGAGCCCCTCCCCAGAAGGCTGCAGCTGGCGGTGAACAAGCTTGCCCTCGGCCTTCATGACGTCACAGGCCGCAATCGTCCCCCCAAGAACAGAGCTGACTGGGCACCTGTGACCACAGGCACATCTTCTCCGTCTCCGGGCCTTGGGCCCCTCTCTAGATCCAATGGGCTCACTGCCCTGCTGTCTCTGTCAGGCCAGACTGAATATGCACCCTGTTGCTGGCACCACCTTCATCACCACACTAATCAGTCCTGAAAGAGGCCACAGGGTGTCCCCCTCCACTGGTCCAAATGCAGCGCTCAGCTTATAGCCCTGCTCTAGTCTTCCCCTTTACCCCAGCTCCTGCTCATTGACTGGGGGGCCTTCAACACCCTCCCAGGGCTGCCTCTTCCAACATCCGGACTCCCGGCTGCAAACCCTCCCCCTTCCAAACCTTTCTGTCTTAAAGGCACCATTCTCCTTGAGGTCACCCCAAAATCATCCTCGGCTGTTCACGCTCTCCCTGCCCACAGAATCCTGCCATCCCCGCCTCTCCCAGTCAATGTCCTCACTTGGGCCTCACCACCTCTTACCTGCCTATGCCAATGGCCTCAATGTTCTCCCCTCTCTTATTATTGTTAAATATTTCCCAAATAGGTGACCCACAACACTCCTGAGTGAGGTTCAAACTAGATTAAAATGTAATTGGGAAATATTTAACAAAAATAAAAACTACAATAAAACATAGACAATGTTAACAGTACATGTTAGTGGCCCCTGACTCTATTTGACTTTGATGCTACTGGTGTAAAGCATGGTTGGTCCAGTTTCACCGTGTGAATGGGGCAGCAGCGGCAGATGAGGCTGAGGCCAGATCTGGAGGGCTCAGAATGCCAGGACAATGAGTTCGGATGTTATCATTACTATTACTAATAGCTAGCTAGCATTTATACAGCATTCTAAAGTTTACAAAATGCTTTACTGGGGCAGCTAGGTGGCGCAGTGCATAGAGCACCAGCCTTGGAGTCAGGAGGACCTGAGTTCAAATCTGGCCTCAGACACTTGACACTTAACTAGCTGTGTGAAGCCTGGGCAAGTCACTTAACCCCAATTGCCTCACTGAAAAAAAAAATGCTTTACCATTTGATCCTCATAATAACCCTGGGAGGTAGGTACACGTATTATCCTCATTTTACAGATCAGAAGACTGAGACAGACGAGTTAAGCGACTCGCCCAGGTGACAAAGCTAGTCAGCATGTGAGGCTGACTCCAGGCCCAGGGCTCTATCCCCTCCCTGTACCACCCAGCTCTATGGTACCTAAAGTTCCTAAACTCATTCCAATTCCCCCATGAGATGAGCAGTACAAGTGGAAGTCCTTGAGGTTTTGAAGCAGGCGTGGGACAAGATGGAGTTGGGGTTTCTCGAAGGTTTACTAGGCCTACAGCTATGACATGGAGGGCTGGGAATGGGGAGACCAGCTGGGAGGCTGCCACAGTCCACGCAGAGGGGCTGGGAGGGAGAACAAAACACAAAGACAGGATGCAAGACTCGAGAGGACCTGGGGACCTGACCCAGAAGTGACTGGCCCATGGGAGCTGTTCCCCTCCTCTATTGGCCCTGCCTCGGTATTACCAAAAGCCCTTCCCTCCCGGGCCTCCTGAGTGGGGGCACAGAGCACTCACTCTCAGAGTGAGTGAACAGCACTGCTGTTCCCAGGCGATGGAAGGAGATGGAAATACACTACCTGCTGGATCTCTTCTCCACTTTTATCTTTCACCATCTCGAGGTTGAAAATTGAACTGAGAGTCTGAAATGGGAAATGAAGGCAGTCAAAAGAAATGTCCCGCTGCAGCTGCAGCCTCTGGGAGGTGAGGGAAGAGGAGGGGCAGCCTAGGGGCAGGCAAAGGCGCTCCAGGCTGGGGGATGGGAGTCTGACACCCAGCTGTTCATTTCCCACACTCATCCCTGCCTCACAAACATCCCCGTGGGGGAAAAGCTGCTTTGAATTCTGCTGATACCAAGGAAGCCCTGGTTCTTGCATTCAGACTGTGTTTCTCCACTCTTCAAAGGCCTCAGGCCTCTTGAGGATGGCCCAGAGTGACCAGGAAGGGCTGGGGAACAGTGCCTGCTCCTCCCAGTCCCACAAGTCAGGTCTGGTCCTGTCACTGAGTCTCCTCCAGTGCTTTGGGGCTCAATCCTAGACTGTCTTGGGGTGGGGCCGGGAGCGAGCCATTTAAGCCAATGAAGACGGACCCCAGCCTCCTCAAGCCTGAGAAGACCAATGCTCCCAGCAATACTCTCATTCATGGACACACAGACTGGCAGAGCTAGAAGGGACATATAGGCCAGGAGTTCTTTGCCTTTTGTGTGCATGTCATGGACCCCTCTAGGGAAGCCTATGGACCCCTTCTCAGACTAATGCTTAAAAAAGTCACAAGCACTGAATTTGGGTAGAAGTGAAAACAAAGGTATTCACAGACATCCTGAGATTTGTCCACAGACCCATGAACCCCAGGTTAATAACACGTCATTGTTTTACAGATGAGGATGTTAAAGCACAGAGGGAGAAAGCATTTTCCCACAGTCCCATGGCTATAGCCAGGTCTTTGGTCTGCTTCTGAGCTGGCAGAAACACTGGGAGCCTCGGCACAAACTCTCCCGGCTCCATGTGCAGCCACATGACCAACCAGTGACTCAACCCCTCTGTACCCCAGGTTCTACACCAATAAAGCAGAAATAACAACAGGAGGGCTGGGAGCTGGCTGGGATACAAAGAGATGAAGCATCACCATCGTCCTCACTGGAAGTCTCTGAGGCTGCACAGATTGAGCAGATCTGGCCCTCACCAGCCGTGTGTCCGGTAGCCAAACACTGAACCTGTCACAACTCTCAGAGTGACCTACTAAGGCAGGGACGTCAGCAATCTGGGCTGTGGAAGGAGATGCCCCCCCAAATCCCGGGTCCCTGACCCTACCTTGCCTTTAGTGAATCCTCTCTTCGAAGACTGTTTCCCCAGGGTGTCCGTCTGAAAGAAATAAGTTAATTGGTCTCTGCTTTGCAGGAGGGAAAGGGAACAGAGTCAGGTAAGCTACCTGTGGTCAGCTCTGAACTTTCAGGCAAGTGGACACGCCTAGCCTCTCTCCCCCTCCCCAAATCTGCCTTCTTCATTCTAATTAGAACACCCATTCCGACCTCTGAGACTTTCCCTGGTCATCCTTCTTGGTAAGCAGCTGCCTCTGGGAGGTGACAGCCTTGAGCAGAAAGAAAGGCAGGGACTGGGCCAGCTACCTGTCCTCAGGAACAATGACCAAGCAAGCCCGCTCTGCTCTGGCCCGCCCATGGCTGGGCTCCACTGGGAGACACCAGACAGGATGAATCAGAACTTCACGGTGCGCTTCTTAGAGGAAGGGGGAGGGGGTGGTGAGGGACTAAAAGGCAGACACTATGGGGGGGGTAGAGGGGTCTAGCTTGCTTGGGGAAAAGTGGGGGGCACGACAGAGCAGCCCAGATCTCTGCCAAGCGTGGAGTCCGAAAGGCAGGTCCAGCCCACAGGCTGAACAGGGCACCCGTGTCTGGCCTGGCTTGGGGAACCCCCCTTTCCACGTCATCTTCATATGTGCAGAAGCTCGGAGTTCACTCTATCCCAGGCCTAGAGCTGGAAGCAAGGGCTCAGGGAGGGAGGCAGCCTGGCTCACTGCAGAGCCACACCCCTGCTGGGAGATGCTCAAGGTCACATTAGGGACGGCCAGTCTGGCGGGCCAGGGGGCCTGCTGGCGAGGGCTTAACCGCTCAGCTGCATCCAGGCCCCCTGACATCAGTGACCCTCCCTCCCTGGAGGTCCCTTTCCCGGCAGGTGGCACTGACTGTTGTGCCCTGAGGCCGGCCAGAGCCCCTCGGGGGCACCCTCAGGGCCAGGCTGTCAGGCGGGGGCTGCACTGGCCGCAGCAAAGCTCTCTTGCCTGCTGCTCCACACACTTGATAAAGTCGGCTTGCTTGGAGTGTCCCACCGGCTGCTTCCGCAGCTCATCCCGCTTCTCCAGGCGGGACTCAAAGGCAGCGGGATCAGACCTGCAGGAAGGGGAGGAAGATGAGGGGTCAGGACAGGGGACTTCGCTATTTCACTCTTCCTGATGGGGAGACGAGGACCTCCAACAGGATCCCTCCCAGCCCGCAATGACCTGGTATTGACTTTGTATGAGAGGCAGCACAGCCCAGGGACAGCAAAGTGGCTCAGTGGAAAGAGCCCTGAGCCTGGACTAGAAAAGACCTGAGTTCAAATGCAGCCTCAGATACTTGCTAGCTGTGTGACCCTGGGCAAGTCATTTAACCACAGTCTGCCTCAGTTTCCTCAAATGTAAAATGGGGATAATCACAGCACCAACCCCACAGGGCTGTTTTGAAGATCAAGTGAGATATTTGTAAAGAGCCTGGCAAGAAGTACTTAATAAATCCCTCTTTCCTTCCTTCCCAGGGGGCACAGAGTTGGCTTCCAAGTCAAGAAGATCTGGGTTCAAGATTCCCTGACTACATGACCCCTGAGGACTATGACTTAAGCGTCTGTCTGCTAGGCTGCAAGAATCTTCTTGTTGGCTAAAAAAAGAAAAAATAAATAAAAAAGGGGCAGCTAGGTGGCGCAGTGGATAGAGCACCAGCCCTGAAGTCAGGAGGACCTGAGTTCAAATGTGACCTCAGACCAAACATTTGACACATTTACTAGCTGTGTGACCCTAGGCAAGTCACTTAACCCCAACTGCCTTAAAAAAAAAGAATCTTCTTGTTGGGTGGTTCTTTCCCCACAGGGGTCAAACGCTGGGCCAACCGTGAACAAAACACATAAAACCACACCTGCCCACAGGGACCCTTGAGGCCCAGGCCCTCCTTGTGGACAGCTCTGTTTGACTATGGACCCCCAGCATTCACACGTGCCCGACACAGAGGAGGCTCGTGAAAATGTGCTTGGTGACTGAAAAACAGAAATCCCATGTTTTATGTCCCAAGTCCTGAGGGGGTCTGGCCAGAGGGATGCTTGTAATTGTGGAATGTCAGGGTTGGACATGACGCCAGGGCGGAGCCTCCAGGAAAGAGAAACAAAGGAGAGGCTGGTCTCCAACCCCAGAGAGCCAGTCCACCAGCATTTATTAAGTACCAACTACATGCCAGTCCTTGTGAGGCTGTAAGGACACTGGTTTCTGGACTCACTCAGTCAGCACTTATTAAGCATTGACTATATACCTGGCACCGTGAAGATATAGACACACTGGTTTCTGACCTAAGCCATCCAGTCAGCACTTAGTAAGCACCGACTATATGCCTGGCACCCTGAGGCTATATAGACACTGGATTCTGACCCAAGGCTAAGGAGGAGGCTGAGGCCTGGGGGTCTTCAGAAGGAGAGATGTAGAGCTGGAAGGGGCTAAGGGGCCATCCAACCTCACTTTACAGATGAGTAAACTGAGGCCCAGGGAGCTGCGGGCACTTTTCCACCCCGACTCGAGGAGCACGAGGTGAAGGGGCTCCCTGTCCCGAGGGTGTCTGGGAAAGGCTGGAGCCCGAGCCCCAGTAACAACAGCTTCTGAAAACAATCCGGGGAAAATGGGGCTAGGGGCCATTGGTGCTGTTATTCCCATTCTGCAGATGAGGAGACGGAGTTGAGCCGCACTCTACCCACTGCGCAGGCGCAGAATCTAGTGCCAGTATCCCCGTCTGTGCGTTTCGAGACCGTGTCCCAATAGTCTATGGGAGGGGCTCCTCTGCTTCCTAGCCCCACCCCTGCCCCTCGGCACCTGCGCAGTCAGTAGGAGACTGCCTTTCCTTCCCTGCCCCGCCCCTCGGCACCTGCGCAGTGGCAGGATCTGGTCCCTACACCAGTTAGAGGGAGGAGCTCCTCTTCCTCCTTGCCCCGCCCCGCCCCTCCGCACCTGCGCAGTTGCTGGATCTTTTCCCGGTACTTGTCATAGTAGGGGTTAGTCTCAAGCTCGGCCTCGCCGCTCCCGGCGCCACGGCGCACGGAGAAGAGCCGCAGCTGCTCGGTCCCCACAAGCCCTAGGCCGAGGCCCGGGCCCAGAGCGCGACTGCGCACGGCGCACAGGCCCCGGTAGAGGCCAGCCACCTGCAGCACGGCTGGGCCCGCGCCCCCCGCCGCCATGGCTGCCATGGCCGCCGCCATAGTTTCTTCCTTCTCGCACTCCACCTCTGCACCCGCCCCCACTGTTGCTTCCGCCGCCGCCGTATCGCGCCCCTCCATCCCCCTCCCCCGGCGCCGCTGCTTCCGCCCCCGCCCCCGCGGCCAAGGTTCCGCTGCAGCAAAGTTCCTGGCCAACGGGCGGGGCCTCTTCTGCGCAGCCTCGAGAGGGGAGGGGCCTTCCCGGATGCTCCCAACCTAGAGAGGCGAGGCGGGGCGGGGGGGGGGGGGGGGCCCCCCGGGGACCCCCCCCCCGGGGGGGGGGGGGGGGGGGGGGGGGGGGGGGGTGGCACCTGTAGAATTCGAACTCAGGGCCGGCTCCCAGCTCCTGATGAGTCTTTGCTTGAATACCTCCTCCAATGGGGAGCTCACTTTGTATCGAGGCAACCCATTCCCTTTGGGATGTAGCCCAATCCTAAATCTGCGTCACAGTTGTCTGCCCTGTGTCCGCTGCCTGAGGACCAGAATCTCAGAGCTAGAAAGGACCATATAGATGGGGAGTGCAAGGACCTGGGTTTGAATCCTACCCAGACCTCTGGCCCTTCTGAGGGTGACCTTGGGCTCCACCTCTTCTGAGCCTCCATTTTCTTATTTATGAAACGTAGGGGTTGGACTGAATCAACAAGTATTTATTAAGCACCTACTATGTCAGGCACTGCCGGAAGCACTGGGGTTTCAAAGAAGGTCGAAAACAAGGTCCCTGCCCTCAAGGAGCTTGCAGTCTAATGGGGGAGACCCCGTGTAAATAACTGCATACAAGACAGAGGCAGAGTAGGGGAAAGGAAGGAAATACGCATTTATACAGCACCTGCTGTGTGCTAAGAGCTTTTCACAAGTGTTTGATTTTCAAAACAACCATTTGAGGGAGGGGCTATTATTACAATCCCCACTTTATAGTTGGGGAAACTGAGGCAGACAGAGGTTCTGTGTTAACCTCTTAACACTTAACTGCAGGAAAGAAGCAAGTCCCAGGGTGAAAACAGCTGGTAACTGTCAGAGGCCAAATGTGACCTCTGGTCTTGATTCCAGGCCCAGAGCACTATCTCAGGGGAAGTCACTAGCAGGTGGGAGGACCCTTCTGGCTCTAAATCTTTGGTCCTGTGCTTTAGTATAATGTCCCACCCAGAGCCTCTTCCAGACAAGACCCGGAGTGAGGGGTGGCCTCACCCTGGCCAAGATGAAGATCCTGATGCCCACTGGAGGGGCTCAGGACTGTGCGGTGTATTGCTGCTTAATCTGTATATTCCCCTTTTCTCTTGTGAATACGAACTAAACAAAACAAAAGCCTTCTGAGCCTGGAGTTTGTGGATGGAGGGGTGGGGAGGTCCAGGCAAGGGAAAGGGGGATCACAGGCTGGTTTGATGGAAGGATAAGGATGGTGAAAACACCAAGAGAATGGGAGAACACCTTCCGGCCCTTAGGTCCCCAGTTAGATGGTGGACTCCTTTCAGTTCTATATTTTACAAGTCCAGATTCACTCTGCATTTATCAAATAACTGACATCTTCAGTGCATTGTGCCTGGCTCTGCTGGGGAAGACGAGTAGAATATAACCCAGTCTGTGCCTTCAGGGAGCTCACCCGCTGCCTGCCTGGGGAGAGAAGGCACAGATGCGCCAAAAGTGAAACGCGGCGGGCCCTACTGGGCTCACAAAGACAAAAGTCTCAAAGAATTTACATTCACCAAGAAGGGAGAAATGACATGTATGCCAACTGTCAACAGGAAATCGCGACTTCATGACATATTTATATGTGAAAAACTGGGTTATTACAAGAGAAATGAACCTGAATGTGGAACCCTATGCAAACCCTGAACGTTCATTTATTCATTCATTACTTTACTTATTCAGTTATCCAGCAAATATTTACTTGGCCTGTGATGTGCAAAGCATTGCTCTGGGGAGGCCTTGGGGTGTGGGGGGCAGGGAGGAAGGGAAAGGCTAGAGAGATAATAAGTCACCTCTCTTTCCCCAGTGGAATTCATGACCATATTATGCCACAGGACCTCTCAAAGGGAGTCCCAGACCTCAAGGAGGGGCTACCCTTCCTTTTTTGTGCCCCTGCCCCTGCCCAGGGGTAGTGGTGGTGGTGTCTGCTGCCAGTCTCTTTGTCCCAGTGATAGCCCAGCCTCTAGAATGTTCAGGTTCTGGAACCTGGCAACCTTTAGGAACAATGATGCCTGGGGGTTCTGATCTTAGTTGGAGGAGGGCTGGGAAGGAGGGCCGTCCCTTGGAGAGCCTCCTGAGGCCCCCTCACCCAGCACCACCCAGCCTTCTGCTTATGGATCCCCAAGGGGAACGGCTGAGCATCCCTGGAGGTAGGTTGCTCTTCTCTCTTTCCCCATCTGAGAAAAGAGAGCGAGCAGCAGGGATAGCCTGACACGGGGACAGAGTAGAAGACTGTCTGAGTGGTGGGAGTGAGGGTGGGAAGACCCCTTGTCCCCGTGATCTCTCTTGCGCTGGTTCATGGCTGCTGGCGGTAGATGTCTCTACCTTGGCCCCTGGGGCTCCCTGCGGGGTCAAGTCAGTTGATGTCTCATCAAGTGGCCAGGGACCACAGCCATTTATAACTCATCCAGCCTCCCTCGTGGTCCCTAGGAGGGAGCTTACCAGGCAGGAGGAGGGAGGCATGCTGGTGGTCAGGTGGGTGGAATGCTCCCATCTCTGGTTTCCAGTTAATGCTAGCCCTATTATCTCCTCTCCCAAGTCTGGCTCCCACTATACTTTGGGGTCTTGGGGCTGTGCTCTGTGGTTACCGGTGGCTGCATGGTCTTTCTCCACTGGAGGAAGAAGGTTCGCAGGGAAGAGCAGGCCCAGGAGTGGGTGGAGGTGATGCAGGCAGCCACCTTCACCTACAGCCCCCTCCTCTACTGGATCAACAAGCGTCGGCAGTACGGCATGAATACCGGGGTCAAAGTGGACCTCCCAGCGGCCGAACCCAAGCCAGAGGCCCCCAAGCCCCTGACTAGCCACCAGGAGGGAAGGACGTCCCCGGCCTCTGCCCCGCCCCTGGCCTGTTGCCCAACCCCAGCACCACACAACCCTATCTTCCAGGAGGTGGCCTTCACCCCTTCACTGGGCAACACGCCGCCCATGGTGAACCACTCTGCCTCTTTCCCTTTCACCGCCTGTCCTGAGAGGAGTGTCCAGTTTCATTCACTGCCAGCTCTGGCCCATCGGGACTATCGCTTCAACCCTAAGGGCTTGGCCTATGAGCTGTAGCTTGCCTTGGTCTGATGGAAGTATGGGGAGGGGTGTGGGGCAGGGGACCAGGATGCCCCAGTGGCCAGTGGCTTGCTCTGGATTCATACCCATGCAATCATCTTTTTCTGAAAGTTCATGGCTTCTGTCTTCTCAATCGCCTTAATTGCCCATCCCCATCCAATTCACCTTCAGCAAACAAAAGTCTGATATGAAACTTTTTAATAAAATGCTAAAAAAAAAAAAGCCCAACCCATTGGTCTTGAGGATGGAGGGTGGGGTAGGGGCTGAGCAGCCAAAATGAGCTGAACCTGGGACCATGGCCTAGTATCTAGGCCCTAGATCATCATTTCACTAGAGCCACAGTCTGAGATATAGGAGGCAGCATCCCTCACCTCAGGGTGAGGGGCTGCCACAGCTCCTTCCTGCCAGGGTGACTAGGCAAGCCTCCTCCCCTTCTGGGCCTGGGCTGGTTTCACAGTCTCCAAGTTCTCTTCTGGCTCTCAATCACATGATCCTGGGGTATCGGGATACAATGGGCCTAAGCGTCTCCAACTCACCGTTAACTGATACCTACAGCCCCTCCTTCCCCCAGGAGCCAGGTACCCAGAATCATAACAGACCCCCTAAACAGGGGCCCAACTGCTCAGGTCTTCAGATTCCAAGTCAACGATCCTGCCATTCCTGGCTCTTCTCATGGGGAAGCACATCCTAATATAGGGTGAAGACGAAGGCTTGTTAGAGGATTCGGCTCAAATAACCATCTGACAAACCCTAGCACCTAAGTTTTGAAAAATCCTTCCTTATGGCTGACTGGGAAGGAAGGGACGGAGTGGGGGAGGGGGCAACTATTATTCCACCCACTTAGCAAAAGAAGAAACAGGTTCTTGGATGGGAGAAGGCAGGTGACTCGCTTTGGGGGGGAATTGCCAGGAAGCATTTCAGTTGTGACCTGCCACCATCCTCCCTGTGCTTTGCATAAATGCTTCAGACCTGCCCCAAACTCCTTGTCCTTGTGGAAGAGGAACACTGGATTCCGGAGTCAAAGGTTCAAATCCTAGCTCTGCTCTTGGTCATTTCTCGTCTGTGCTATCTGTCTGGGGGAGGGGAGAGAGATTCTTGCTCATGACTGGTCTGGGCTTGTGGGCCTTGGAGGTTTTTCCAGGCGTGAGAACCATGACCCCCTCACAAGTCTCTGTGAAATCCCCTCCATGCTCTCAGGCCTGGTTGTAGGTTGGCCTTAACTGTCCCTTACCTCACCCAAACTGCCCTAACTCCTCTGGTAATGTTGCAGGCCACTTCCCCATTTTTATTTTTTATTTATTTTTTTTTAAAGAAATGGGCTTCAAGCTTCACATGGTGGCTCTGTTCTACCAATCCCAGCCCCACTACCCCATCTTCCAGGAGAGGGCCTTTTCTTCTTCACTGTATAAGCTATCGGTCCACTCCACAAACTTTAATCACACACAGGGCAAAAAGAGGAAAGACATTTTATTTAGAGAAATTCAAACTTGTTACATGTTATCAAAGCGCAAGGCTCCTCTCGGGGATGGGGACCTAGACTATCCCAGGGGCAGGAGACATCCAGTCCCTCTCCGGGTGTGGGCCAAACAGCTCCAGGGACACAGCAGATTCACCTGTCTCCAAAGCAGAGAGTGACAAGGAGGATGACTGAGGGCAAGGTGGCCCATGCTCTAGGGGAGTAGGGGAGCACACCAAAGGGGGGAGAGAGGAAGAGAGGGAGAGGGAGAGGAGAGGGAGAGAGAGAGAGGGAGAGAGGAGAGAGAGAGAGAGAGGGAGAGAGGAGAGAGGGAGAGAGAGAGAGAGGGAGAGAGGGAGAGAGGGGGAGA